GATTGAGAGAGAGAGAGGGGGGAGAGTGAGAGAGAGAGAAAGAGAGAGAGAGAGAGAGAGATAGAGAGAGAGAGAGAGAGAGAGAGAGAGAGACTCTCACAGAGATGAAAAGGGGTGCAATGTGTTTATATGATGCTATGTATGTAATTTATGTGTCACAGAAACTGAACAAAGCACAGTATTAATTTCTACCAATACTAAATCAACAAAGCATATTATTTTTATCTGTCTTATCCTGCTTTGCTCAACCTAAATAAAACAAGAACAAAGCGCATAGTACAATACCCTCTACAGTCTCTTCTATTCCTGATAATTATTACTTCTGCTAGACTCTTTGATGGCTGCATGCAAGGATGTGACAAGAATTGGAACATACTTCAGTGACGTTTAGGAGCCTCAGCATTTTCTTATGAAGTCTTAACCCTTTCTGTATGCCCTGGGGTCATTTGTAACCCAGGGGTTGTATTCTTTACATTTTAGAATACTCCTAGTACTAAGATCTCTTTGAAATTCTTAGTATTTCTCAAAAGATCCTTTTGACAGACTGCTATGCAAAGCGTATGGATCGGATTAACGAGTAAATTTCCTCTTTGGAAAGTGGTGGCACCGAGTTCCCCACGTCGTATGTATACGATAGTAAAATCAGACGTACGGATAGGGTTGCACTAGGAGTACACACGAGGAATAACCCCATCAAGTAGCGTTACATACACAACATTTCCAAGGGATGGCTCATATCCTGACTATACCCCAGTGGTGTCACAAACTCTGTACATACCCTAGTGACGTCACATACTTTGAACGTACCCTAAAAAGATCGCTACACAGTGACGTCATAGACTCTGACACACACTCCAGTGACGTCACAGACATACCCGAGGGATGGCCCCATCCAGTGATGTCACAGACTTTGAACACGTGATCGCTGCCAGGGTTTGTCAGCTTTACATTCTTGATCCCAGACCCTCTGAAGACAGCGGGCGTTTGCAGGGTGACCACGGCTAGGTCATAGGGTTGGATGCCCGTGTCGTTGACGTAGTAATCTGGATGCTGTGATTTTTTAAATATATATTTTTTTTTTGGGGGGGGGGGGCAACAATGAGAGATTTGGGTTGGTTGCTGGGGTGCTATTAGTAAGAGTTTTACGGCACTTGCAACACAATTAGATCATAATATATGTGCCGGAAATTTACAAGTTAGAAACATTCTAAAAA